TCTTATCACAGTCCAGATTTCATATGAAATATCTTGGGGGCCCTGGAGTCCCCCAAGAACAGTAATATGTTGCAAATATGAAGAACAGTCATAGTGTTAAATTAATATCAATCAGGTTGGCTTTTTTTTGCAACGATACACGAGCAAATTGTGTATGGGATGACATTCAAATAGGCATCTAGCACGCACTTGTTTATGTCATATCTTCCAGCCAACAAAAAGAGGTCCAATAAATCAAATTTGCCAATCATCGTGTTTTTTGCAAAAGGTAGACGCTTTGTAACAGTTTGTTTGGGCCAGAGAGAAAGAGAGAGTGAGGGAGGTAGGTAAAGTGTGTAAAAATACGATGAATGAAATGCGAAATCTGTTCCAATGTATGTGTACCGTTTCGAATCCATTAATGTGAAACAAACAAACAAATTCAAAGAAAGAGAAAAAAAGCACGGACACACACACACACACACACAAATGCACGCCAGCAACGGCTCAGTTATTAAAATCATGAGTAGTATAAAAATGTTTATGAAACTGCAATAGCGGACCCAAATATTTTGGGAATTTTCCACTTGCATACGCATCGAGCAGTCACGCGTCGGTGATCTATATGGAATTTTGCACAAAAAATACACAGTCTTAACACACTTGTTGGCGTTTTGTTCTCCTTTGCGGTGCCGTATGGCCTTTTCGTGTTATTTTCGATGTTTATCGATATTGTTGTTGTTGTTTCAGATGGATATGTTTCATGCTGGAAAATTCTTTCATATGACTCATAGTTCACCGGCGGCTAAATTCGACATTGGAGCAAAAGAGATAGACTGCTCTCCAATTTCAAATTACTACGCGAATGTTCTATATTCATACGCAACTGATAATTGTACCGATGATAATATTCTCGTAATCCTTCTCTTTCTTTGTTCAAGCTGAGGAGCGCACAACAACAAAATTGTGTGGGCCAGCGACACATTGTTCCCTTGTGCTTTGTTTTTTTTTCTTCTGTTTTTAGGTTGCCTTTGTCGGCGCTTCACCCATATCAGTTGATCCGATTACTTTCGTTCCGTAATGGAAAAAAGCAAGTGAGAGCGTGAGGTTGACGCGCCTGCCATCGTACGCCACTTAATGACACACTAAATTATAATGGAATCCAGTGCCAATGTTAGCCTAATGACACACCAAAGTACTTGAATGATTATACGCTAAAACAAAAATGACACACTCTATGATTAAACAAGAATTTTTTTATTGCCAACGTCATTCGATGATCGTTGCGTCGCCTCATATACCATGTATATTAAAACCATTTTAATCATACATCGCTCTTTCTTATGGAAAATTTATTGCAATTTTGTTTTCGCTCTTGGGCTTACACTCCACATACATACACACACAGGCACATCGGACATGTGTTTATATCGACTGTGTGTTGCAGTTTTGTTTTCAGTTTGTATGCCATAAACATAGTAAAATGAACGAAATGAAAATCGAGACGCACACATACAACGCACCAATATTTATGCACAGCAGGTATTCATGGGTTGTGATACATGTAACTCTCTCTCTTGGAATGGCACGAAAGTCATATTGTTGGAATGGAGGCAGTGGCCCTTATCAAAAATATATGCAACGACTGGAAATTTATACGTATATTATCGGTCAAGAGCAAGTATGCAATACTAATCGATTGGAGGTATTGCCACATGTATTTGCCAGGGGGATATGCCGAATTTTCCGAAATAAAAACTTCTGATCCGAGATCAGTGATCCCAAAAGTATCAATGCATGAATTTTCAATGGAATAAACCATGTCATTATAACCTTGAAAATGGTTACTCATGAATTAATCACCCAAAATAGTGACAAAAACCATTTTAAACTTTGCCCACGTCTCTGCATCCCAGTGACAAAATTTTTACTCATAGGTTCGTCAATGATTTAGTAGGAAAAACGATAAGTTTTTTTTCTCTTTCTTTTCCTTTAATCAGTTTCAGTTTTTTTCTGATTCATAAATTTTGTTCTGTGACGATAGTGGCCTAGTGAGCATTCAATGACGTTGTTACTGCGTGTTATAAATTGTTGCCCACAACAACAACGACAACGACAACGCCGGCGACAACAATTCCAATATTCTACGAATATGCTAACTCTTTTGCATCGTTTGTGTTTAAATCACGCGCGAATTTATCACACTGTGATCACGCGTTTTCGACGATATTAATAGAATCCCGGTTTATAAAAATAGTAAAATATTTGCTGCTGCGGCTGCTGATATATATTTTTTTCTTCCTTATTTCCAATCAGATTTTTGTTACGGCTGCTGATGCTGGTGGTTTGCGAATGTGCTGCGTTCAGCATGCTACTGCTGTTATACAGCTATATTCTCGTATTGCGTATTTCTGAAGAAAAGAGAGAAAAAAGCACTTTATCGGCGGGCATTCTTCTTGCTTTTTGCGAGTTATTTTCATATTCGTAATGATTTAATACGAGGCCATTGCTGCTTGCTTGCTTGCTTGCTTGTCTCATTATTGTGGAAGCCTGTTTGACACGATGTGTTTCGCTTGTTGTGTTTTCATACGCCTTTCGGAATGTAGAGTGAATGAATCGCAGAAAAAAAAAAATTTACAGAAACGGCCACACAGAGACAAACTGTATCGAATGATGTAATAGACGAGCCCTCTAAATTGATTCGTCGATACATTCATTAGCCGTGCACACAGAATATACAAGCGTGTGCGAGCATGAATTTCGATACGAATTCGCTCACACAATGGTGCTCACATATGGTTCTTGTAAGTACTGATTTTGCTATTGTTGTTTTTCGTTTTTATTTCCATAAATTCAATTAGTTTACTGATATGGAATTTGATTTGGTAATGTGATTTCCAGAGAAATAGGATGTCAAGATAAATATGATGACGAGATACCGTCTGATTAGAGAACTATTTCACAAATATGATGAAATATTCCCGTTTGGACGATAATTGTCGACGGTTATGTGTGTTTTTTCTCAACTTTGATTCGGAGAAAGAAATTCGACATAATGTGGTGTGACTTGGCCAGTTCAAAGGAAATGCTCGTGCATGTGACATAAGCCATACATATATTAGCACGTAAATATATACATTCACTTATACTGCCTGCTCATTCTCGTCACACAGAATGAGAAAACTCGTTCGTTTTGACTTCCCCCACACATACAAATACTTCATAACTGTCGCCTCATGCACACTTGCTCAACGGCACGACGAACACGAAAACAAAAAGAAAAACAACAACAGAAGAACGGTCTATGAAGCATGTGATAGCATAGATATTTATATTAGAAAGGATAAAGAAACATCGAAATGAGCAAGAGAAAAACAACTGTGCGATGACAGCGAAAAATAACCAACGAACGAATGAAGCAGCAATAGCACAAATAGCAAAATACTGGTTTGAATGGTCGATGTGTCGACGTTAACGACAACGACGACGACGACGACGACGACGACGACGACGACGACGTCATGCCAAGCCCTCGCGCGCGTACGCGCACATTCGGCGATGTTCATTAAATAATATTGGTGAGAATTTGCTTTCAATTTAAAATGACTTGAATGATTGACAACTCGAGATGCCCGTTTGTTTTGCCTCTCAACAACAAGCCCCCTTTACTAAATTAGCCTTGCTTCATTTTCTGTATAATATTTGCTGTGTGTGTGTGTGTGTGTGTGTGTGTGTGTGTATGTATTCTTATTATTTTTTTTATCATTTCCATTCAAGAAATTTATTTTGTGAACGGAATGCACTCTGAACGAAGCGAATTTTAATTGAAATGATCGATGGTTTGGTAATCGTATGTCTTAAGCATAGTTGTTATTTTCTCTCTCTCTCTCTCTCGCTCTCCCTCAATTCATCATTATATTCAATTTTATTGGTAATATTAATATTATCTGCAAGTGATACGGTGTGATCGTCACATCGCCCATTCCGTCCAATGTATAATTGAATGGCGACAGTAATATTTGACGTTGTCGACTGGATGTATGTTTGCGTGCTGCTTTCAATGGATGATTATGCGAGCAAGTGTGTGTGTGTGTGTTGTCGACTTGTATGCGCTTCCAATCACGATGATTGAATCGGTGACGGTCAGCGAGTTCATCAAATGATTAGTTCGACATTCAAATTCAAATTTAGTACAAACATATCAATTGAAAATTAAAAAAAAAAAGAATTTATACAGAGAAGAAAAAAACCACGACGGTTTTTCACTTTGTTCCTCTTGCAAACGTGCCACTACCAATGTATTTTGATGCATGATTGCATGGAAATCGTTTTCATTGATCGATTTGCGTATGAAACATTCGATAACAACAAGAAAAAAATCGTTTGTGGGGTGTGTAAATGAATGACGTAGGTGGGTTGATTGCTGTTGATTATTTGACGACAAATTAATGAACAGCAAAACAATCAGTGAAAATGTAAGCAAATCAAATTTGTACACTAGCGCCGTCGAGAGAAGATCTCTTTGCCTCCCAAATAAAATGAATGAATAAATAAAACAACACCACCGAAAACACACAAAGCACCAGGCGAAACAAAACGACGCGCACACACACACACACACATACACAAAATGAACGGAAACACATTTTATTGACTTAATGAAATGAGTGAAAGCAATTTAATTCTATGCCATTTGGCTTATAATTGTAAATTATGGCCTTTTTTCCTCTTTCTTATTCTCACTTCTAATTTTATACTGTAGTAGCACTTATTCGGAGGCACACTCATCAAATTCCACTTTTCATCTTGTTTCGTTTCTTTTATTGTTTTGCCGCGACTCATTTGATTTAACCACAATTTGTGTTCTTCTCATGTACATATATATCGGATTGGATACAACAGTGAATTTTCCGAATTACTTTTTTTTTCTACGTTTAACGCACCATTAGATAGACAAACTAGATGTGAACTGATGTGCATACACAACGAATACTCATGCGAACAACCAATTTTTCATTTACCAGTGCTGTGCTATGTCGTTGGGAAATCAGGTGAAATTTGAATCGCAATTTGTTTGTTATTGTTTTGATGTCTGGTATATTTTTGTTGTTGTTGTTGTTGTTGTCTTGTTTCATTCGGCTATGACTACATACATAGGTTGCATTTGCCTTATGCCTATTTTTAGATCACACTTTTTGTTTTTATGTTATAATTAACACACACACTCACACATAACAAAATTAACAAAATTGAAAACAATTCCGATATTTATTTTGAACTGCGAAGCGCGTTTAACGAGGGAATCAAAAGGTGTTTGACGTCTTTTGGAAGCAATACATGATGCTATACAGAGCGCACCGAAAAATGCACGTTATATTTATCCGTTGTTAAGATTTCATCTGACATACGGCCACGCAAACCGCACAGATTTTCACCAAAGCGTCTTTGTGTCATATATTATGTCTTGGTTCCTCTGTCGTTGAGCTTTTCTTTCCAGTGTGTGTTGACTGTGTTTCATCGAAAGTCAAGCGGTTTCGGTTCAGAATTTAGCTTTCATTTTCTCTAGTTTTCTACGCAATACACATCGCAATGCACACACATATTTATCCTTGATGGATTCTCGCATCGGGTGGTTTGTTGTGGATGTTTTTTTTCATGATGTCTATATGTCCATATAAAATATAGATGCGGTTGCTGTTTATATACTTATATGTATGTACATTGTCGCACGCAACGCTAATACGCGCCAAAAAAATAGTTTCAAACATTTGCACGAAACAAGCAACGCACACAGTGAGTCTCTCTCTCTCTGTGTGTGTGTGTGTCTACGTGTTTGTGTGTATCGCAAACAAACAACCGAAACGAAAGGAAAAACCGAAAAATGGAAAAATAACATTTCGATGTATATGCTGTTGGCGACTAGAAAATCAACGAAATCTCATTTAAAGTCGAGAAAAATCTGTCTCTATCTATCATAAACGACCTCCAGGATATTGCTCCGGCTAATGAACACAGTTAGCCAACAAAAGCGAAAAGCTTTCTATCAGCTGAATTGTATTTGGAGCAATCGATAAATTCAGTCGTTCGGTATTCTTTCTTCTGTGCTTTTTTTTTATTGTTTCGGTTCATAATTTGATGTGTGTTTGCAGTTGTAGATGATGCGGATGACACGCTTTTCCATGTGCATGTGCGGGTGTGGGCGTGTATGTGTGTGAGAGATGCCGGTTCCACAATGTCTGAGTCCCATTTGACTGAACACCATCTCTCCATCCGCGTTTTTCCCTCTACCACAGCTATTAGAACGGGCCTGTCGTCGATAAACATATCTTGTTTTTTCCATTATCATCCACCATTGTTCGTTGCACGAGACGCGCATCCGCTCATGTCTTCGAATCGGCACGAGCAAAAGAGAATACCATAACTTAAATCCATGTCATGGCTAAACAATTATTTCTGGCGATTTTTCCATGTCTTAACAAATGAACCGCAAAATATGACACTAAGCGTAACAGTGCATAATCGAATAAGTGAAATTGAAACTGAAAACGGCGAATTTTTACACAAACAATTGTTGTTGCTGCCATTTCCTCTTCACGCGCTACCAACATTCTTGTGACATCCGCTAGAAGTAGAAAACGGGTTCTCCGGCAAATATAAAAAACATCTTTGAGCTTTAATGACAAAACCAATTGAGGCTACGTTTCTTACGATAGACTTTTCATATATTGCATCATTTTTACGTGACACAATTCTTCCATTTATTGTAAGATAAACAAAAACCCGCTAAGAATCTGTTTTTTTTTGTGTTAGAAAATATTTTGATAATAACCTTTGCTACGGTTGAATGATCTTATTCCAATATTTTTTTCAACGATCAAGAATCTTGTTACTTTCAACAGAAATTATATTGACAGACACGAGTAAAAAAGAATGATTTCTTTTTTTTTTGTCATTTCCGCAATGCATTCATTTGTGAATTTAAAACATTTTCTACGGCTTATGACTGTATATATAGAGATTATAATCTCTACTAATTAGTAACCGGAGTTGTATTTTTTTGGAACAAGTGTATAATAAATAACACGATATTAGAAGATTTATTTTTTTCTTTCAACTTTTTCCTCTCTTCATTAATTTCTCTTTTTTTTTCTTCCCTTTCTCATTGATTTCCATATAAATTTCAATAAAAAAAAAATAATCGATTTGTTTCTGTGAAATGAAATCATAGGAAGTGACCCGCAGAATACGATACAATTCGGAAGATATACATTTTGTCGAATTTAATCGAATCTGGAATAAAAATGGTGTGAAAAATCCACGTCGCTGCAAATAGTTGCGTTGATATGATCAACTTCTTCCGTGATTTCGTTTTTCTTTCCACTTCGAATTGTGTCTTGTTGCATATTCAAATCGATCATTCAAGCTCGAAACAATAGCATACAATAAATATTTTACGATGTTATTTTGAAATGAAATTTATAGAATATCATAGACGGAAATCGCTGTAATTCTTTATGTGTGTGTGTTAAATTATTTCCTGAGATTGAACAAGAATTGATGACAATTGGTTGCAGCCTTGTCACAGGTATTTGAAAGCAGATAGGATTCTAACTAACTGGTGGCACAAAAATGATTCGACACATGTGGCATTGCACTTCAATCAAATTACATCGATCGAAGAAAGGCTTTGTACTCAAACAGCTATAGGAAAACAAATTGTTTTTATTTTTTCGCTCACAATTAGGCAATTTATCATATATGCATGTTTGATATGGTTATAAAAGCATAATCATTAAACACAAATCAATCATGCAGCGATTTGAGGCATTGTGTTCGATTGATTATTTTGTCTGGTGTTTAATCTTGATTATTGATTTGAATAAATACGGTTCAATATTCAACGATATGGATGATATACACGATGTATGTTAAACACATACCCATTGATAGTAGTTAATTTTCCACATTTAATTCGGTAAATTAGGCAAATGAACATAAATTAAATGGTAATTGCCGGTGGCAGACGTACCCGTATAGTTGACGCGCTGCTGGAATGCTCTCCGAATGCGAAAGAAAGAGAAAAAATAAAACTATGGGACATTGTGCAATGAGCCACATATAAAAGAGTGTGAGTGTGTGCCGTTCTGAAGTTCACGTTCAATACCAATATGATGACGGTTTTATTTCGTCGTTTTTTTCCCTGTTTTATCGATAACGTTGATTACATGGAAAGCCATCAAGATTATATCATGTGAGACGGTGTCGTGAGATTACAGTAGGCAATAAAAGTATAAACGGCTCGTTTTGCACGTGACATTTGTACGATGACACAGAAAGCAAGTAGCAACTTCATATTTGCGATAAGATGAAAAAGCTTTTAACATAGACACACTTTGATGTTTACAACAATTAAATACATACATTCACGAAATGGTGCAGTCACATTTGTTGTTGCTTGTGTTTCATGTCTTCCGTTGTTGATAAAGCTTCTCGTATTTGAAGACAAAGTGCGCAATTGTTTGGCATCGCAAACTTTCTCAAAGAATTTCGACACGATTAACTGCGGGCTGTCGACAACGGCAACGACGACAACGACGACCGATCAATCAATTGCCAATAGCTAATTGGGCACATCACCAAAGCGATCGATTGAAACAAATCGTTATTTGATTTGAACTTGATAACTCGTGACTTTAGCTTGTTTGCAACATTTGCTTATTCGATTCCGAATAAAAATATATTGAAACTAATGCCGAGTCGAGCAAAATAATGTGAACGTTGCTCCCTGAATTGGTACAGGGTATAGACACAGTCATAACCACAACCAATAATCACAAACGCTGAACGATTTATCTATTGCTAATAATAGAAACTGCCGCAAAACAGATGATATACATATTGTCGGTGTGCACGTAAGCGTTCATCTTGTATGGCAAAAGCTCGAAAGTGAATCGATTTAGATGATGATGAACCCACATTTACCGAAATGTGAACCGAAATGTGAACCGAAATGCGAATGGAATTTCGCACAAAAAATCGATCGCAACACCTTGATATTGGAAAGTAATTTATTTTAATTCATTCAAACGATAAAGACAGACAGCATTTCTAAGCTGTCGATTTCCATAAAAGATAGAATGTGGTTTACATTTGCCAACTAACACAAACACACACACACAAAGCAACAAAACGAATGGCCAGCGAGTGAGAGCTGGCAAATTTATGAAATATCGCTTGGTTTGAGCACAGATATATTGCGGTCAATAGTATAATTGAGATCAGAATGGATGGAACAACAAACTGTATATAATATATTCGTTTATCCACATATGAAAGCACTGCAATTCGAATGTGTTTTACTTACCGCTCGAAATTTGTTATTTGTGATTTACGTGTGAAATGGCCAATTTCAATTTGTTATGGACAGTTTTCATTGTTGTTGTGCAATTCATTTCTTTCATATTTTTTCTTCTTCTTCTTCTACTTGTTCATCAGTGATTTTGCTCCGTCTCTCCGTTTGTGCACAGCTCCAAGACGGAGAGAGAGAGAGAAAGAGAGAGAGAGAGAGAGAGAGAGAGAGACAGAAAGAGGTAAGGGAGAAAGAGAAGCGTAAGAGTTTTGTTGATAAAAAAATAATTTATTTCTAAATCAATTTGAACTGAAATATATTTCCTACACATATTATTTATTGTTTAAGTTTTGTTGTTGTTATTGTTGTCATTGTGGTATTGAATGGCTATGCATACACAGTCATACACTAGCGACTTTCGAAACAGTTTGCGGTCGATAAGACGCATCCATTTTGAAACGTATGGTTGAAGTTAGATAATTCGTCAGTCGCATCAGTGTCATTTTCAATCAGCCTTTTTGGGTTTTCGTTCGATCACATTCGATATTTGTTTCGTTCGATGTTGCTGTTGCTGTTGCTGTTGTTGTAGCTGCTGTTAAAGAGTATTGCGCGTTGATGCAACCGTACTTTTACCGCTTGGCAATTTCAATGCACGATATTGCTTGTAGAGACGATCTTTGCAAAATTCATAAAACTCCACTTCACGAGAGAAATTTCGGCGTACAATATCTTTCACATATTCGCTGACCGGCGGCTTAAATGCATTCCGATTGATGCGAACGCTTTCACTGGCTGCATATTGGGAGATTGAATGCACACACACACACACACACACACATTAATAACAATTAATAACAGATGAATAATACTTTTGTGTCTATTTAGATACAAACCGTGATATACTCGATTGACGTCCCTAAAAAATCGTGGTACATAATGCTCCAAGACAGCAAATGTCGTGTTTAAGTCTTCAAGAACACCAACCACCGCATAATTTTCTTCGACAGCTCGTTTTGCTTTGTCCAATGCTTCTTGCGAATTGAACGGCCTGCGTGTGTGTATGTAGGTGGGTCAGTGTGTGCATAATCGAAAGTGAATTGAGAAGAACATGCAAAAATCATAAAATCAGACAATTAAACAAAGAATTAAAGAAAAAAAAATTGAATGAAAGGTCGAAATGATGAAAAAAAAAATGAATTTGCTTACGTGCAGTCGGGCTCATGTCCACAGAAAAAGAGAGTTTGACGTCGATGATCACCGATGCCTTCGCGTCGAACACCTTGATTGTATACGCATTCGGGATCACTGGTCAATACACACGTTTCGAAGTCCTTCTTCAGCCATTCGGGATCGGGTAATGGTAAATCGGGAAAGGCTCTTTTTCGTTCCACAAAATACCACGGTGCTCGCACATAGTAAAACCAACTAATGACACGCTCAACTGGATCTCGAACCAAATTTATGTAGATCGGCATTGGATATCCAAAACTATATTTTTGATCGAAAAAACCCAAAAATAATGGAACAAATATTTAAGTAACAGATAAAAATGGGAAAATTTCCATCGAAAATGTGACAAGATTAGATTCGACATATCCAGACTTAAAAAACCAAAACAATTGTTTTAAAATCCAAAGTATCAAATATATAAATAACTTTTTAAACGAAAAAAAAAACCATGAAAAATACTCAAAGATATAGAATCAGCTTAGTTGATAAGACGAGTAGTGATAAAAATGTCCATTTGCAATGGGTTTTATTTTAACGATGTGTCAATCAATTGGCCAATGCATCCGTGAAACGTCACATCGCACACACGAAAACGAAATTTGCCTAAAAAAACCATTCGAAACACATAAAACGCCATTTGACGGATAATTGACCACTTTTAACGCATTTTACATGCGACAAACGCGACACCTTAAACACAATTGATACGTTGAACAGTGTGCGCCGATGCCGCCATCGCAATTTCAAAGTTACGGTTGCGATGCAGTGTGTGTACGCGCGCAATTTTTACGACTTATTCTTATTCTTTATTATATTTTAAAGTAGTATGTGTTTAGCATTAACCCTTTACAAAATTATTATTATTATTATTAATTTACATTTCACAGCGTACAATTCAAGAAAAACAATTAGATGGAAACGTAAAGAAACATTTTACTTGAGTGTAAATGTTTTTTTTTTAAATAGATTGCATGCTATCAATCTGGAAATTGAGAATTTACCAATATTAGTGTTATATTTTTCGATTTGATAGTCCACAGTATGACGAGTTCCATAACTGTGTCCATCCGATCGCCGGGAGAGGAGCACTTCTGTTTTGATGGATCGACTTTTTATTCTTTCCAGAACTATCAAAATATGAATATTGAAACACCTTTAATTCGTGTTCCGTGTACAATGTGAATACTAATTTATGACACGCGCCCCGTTCTCTCCCTCTCTCTCTCTCTCTATCACATCTCACCGAATGCTATTTATGAAGAGGTGAGCAGAGATTTGGATGATGAAATAATGCTCAAAAAATGGAGATTATTCCAGATCTGAACTGTTGTTTGTAGAGAAAAAAAACACTTTACTTAATTCGCTGCCAATGAACAACCGTTTCCATGGCAAAACTATAATAAATGATGAAGCAGCAATAGCAAATGCAACAATCAGCAGAAAATTCAAAATTAGAATACGGTTTTTATGCGGCAACTTAAATTACATGGAATATGCCACGGTAAATTTGTATGTGTATGCATGTTGGAATCACTGACTGCGTTATTTTTGTTTCTTTACTTTTGCTAAATAAAGGCTCTTTACCGTTTGAAATGAACACCTTGCATTCGTCTGCCAAACTATGTTTAATGAGAGTAAATCGACGCTGTTTAATTTGCATTTTTGATTTGAATTTTGAGAGAGAGAGAGAGAAAAATGAAGATATCGCGAATTGGATTACAAGACCTCGATGGGGCATCGGCAATTTTGCTGTTGCTGTTGTTTTTTTTTTTTGTTTTTTTTTTATTATTTCTTTCTATTCTCTAGTGGTGCTCTTACCTGGTGAAATTCGTGAAGCAAACGTGTTTAACGAACGCCGAAGGTGGCGGCAAACTCGAAATAGCCGTACTCAAATCATACTGTTGCTGCATACTCAAACGAATCATCTCAACACGTTGCACTCCATCGCGATGAAAATGAAAATCATTCATGTACGCCAACTGCTTCATGAGCTCCATAAATGTTTGCGAGCCCACCTTGGGCACACGATTGAAGAATAGGATTTCTTGTAGCGCTTTTCGTGTGTTATTCAATTCATAGGCGCTTGGTATTACCTCCGGAATACGAGTTGATCGCTGCATTTGGAATATAAATTACCAATTTAAATCACATAAATCAGGGGCAGAAAAGAAAAACGCAATTGAAAAGGCGTTTAAAGAGTCAAATGAGATGAAAAATAGTACAAATGAGAAAAATCGTGACGTCATTATCATCGATCCTTTCTTTCGGACAGAGAACTATGGTGTTAGCTTTAATTGTGATTGAATGAATCGAAAATCGTTCTCTCTTTCTTTCTATCTCTCCCAGTGTGTGCGTTATAAATTGGTTTTTATCAAACTGTCAACGTCTCTTTCTAGAAAGTTTTCGTGGGAGAAAATTTCGTCTTGAATTGCTCATACTTCACATAATTTGTCATACGAAAGAAATAAGCAAGAAAAATGTCAAAGAAGAGAAATCAAATCAATTACTACACATCAGTCGGAACGATTCAATTGTGATCTGTGGACGTAAATCATTGCGCATCATTAATTCACAGGAAACGCAGCCCAAGTGTACACATGAACGCACGTGATTCGGTGTTGGATATCAATTTTGCGAATTACAATAGTAATAAATAAATCATGTTTGGAGCAGAAGCAGAAGAAGAAGCAGAAGAAGAAGCAGAAGAACAAGCAGAAGAAGAAGCAGAAGAATCGACTTGGTGTTGATGGTTACATAGAACGGTGTGTGATAGCTGAGAAGGAGGTTTGTATGCCAGCAACAGCAACATCACATTGCCATGAAGTAAAGAGAATGTGAACGCAACAGCTGTACTTCTGCAATTGAGTGACTCTCGTTCTTTTCACATCATCGTTTTGTCAAGCATCATAAAAGGGCGTCCACCAAAATTTGGTGAGTACCAAATGATGGCACAAAAATGACAACGACAAACACACCGTACATGATCGAGATTATGCGCGATTCTTTGCATTTATCCATCACAGTGTGTGTGCGTGCATGTTCATGTGAGCAATAAGTAAGAAAACATTAAAAGCACATTTAAGTGTGAAAAAAAAGAGAATCGTTGAAAATTTCGGATCGGTCCATTGTGCGTCAATCGTTTGAGATCACTGAACACACCGAACAACATGATCACGTCGTGATGTGCATGGCGTGCGCGAATAGGACCGGAAAAGAAAGCATTCATCGCTTTATTTATCTCTTTTTCACGTTGCCGTCGTCGACGCCATCGTCTCATTATCGTTAACTTCGACCCCATTGTAAACAATGACAACCGTTTTGTCATTTATGGTTATTCGGTTAAATAATGATTTTTCTGTTCATTTTCATTACAATTTGGCCACGCATTTTCATTTTGGCCACAAACATCACGATATTCTTCAAATGCACCCATTTCTCTCTCTCTCTCTCTCTCTCTCTCTCTCTCTCTCTCTCTCTCTGTCGGCATAGATTTTATTCTTTTTATATATTGTTTGCTTTGTCGCAATTCCGCTATACATTCTTGAGCGATAAGTAAAAAGATAGATTTATTTCCATTCTTTCTCACATGGAATACTCACCATTTGCGCATAGTACGGCTGATATTCAATGCTGTTATTCTCATCGTCTGAAAGAAGAGATTTGAAGAGAAAAAAAAATAGAACCCATTCAATATACACAATGCGAAATTTTCCATGCATGACATCGGGCCCAATTCATTCTTTACGGGGACCGCAATCAATCAACGAAAACCCGTTCGATCATCAAATATTTGTCTTCTACGCGTGTATTTATCTGTCATTTTTTTGGGTTTTGTTTGTGTGCTTTTTTTCTCGGTCAAACGGATGATAAACGTTAAACAATCAATGCAATCTCTACTTGTTCCCTTACCGATTTCACATTCCATCGATTTTGCCGTGTGTTTCAATTACCTTCGGGCGCGCGATAATATAAAACGGGCTACACACATTTTATTTCTTTATTTCGTGTGGAATTCGGAAAAAAGGCACGTTCAGTTGAAGGAGGAAGCGAAATCGTTCTATACGTGATTTCATGAAAAAAAATTGCCATTCAATCGTTGTTATCGGGAGCTGAGCGCTGTTTTTGCAGTCATTGAAAAATCCATAAAATCAACAATTCATCGATTATGTCATACTGATCTTGTTTTTGTCGCGCTCTCTCCACGTCTTCACTGTCGTGGCCTAATTGCAATTAAAATTTCAATGACGGAACTGCACTGTGCGTTCTTTATATGAGTTTTCATTTCTATTATCATGTAAATGAGCATTTTGTTGTGAGCTAAAACGGAGGTGCATTTCCCATTTTCAGTGTGAACAATATTTCAATGACGTGGATCTTTTCAAACCGAAGGTTCATAACTGTTTCAAGTGAAGAATCAATGAATAAACAACGAAATCATTGATTTTCGCATAAAATTGCAGATTTTACAGAAATACCATCGCGAATTATGTAATATATTCCCACTTGAATTTCTTTTTCTCAACACATTGTGATTAATTGCTAACAATTTCGGTCGATGGCACCAAATTCAAATCCTTGAAAACTAAAACTATTTACTTTGCTCATTGCGAATGGCAGCTTTTAAAAATGGATGAATTGCAAAACGTTGCACTTGTTTTGTCCAAATGGTAGTTGATATTGTTTGAGTTAAGTCATGCCAAAGTATACAATGATACTCATCCATGATGGGAAAATGTTACAACACGCAAATTATTGAACCGCTTTCCGCCCCCACAACTATTCAATCTAGTCTAGACCATTTTCAATGGGAACCGTGCCTGAGGCGCTTCAACAACGACGACGACGAAAAAAACAACAAGAAACGAATCAATAGAATGATTTAATTGAATTATGTCAAGCGCCAACCCAGAAAAATGATCGTTTTGGCTTGTGTAAATATGCATAATTCCTAAAGTATTTTTCTCAAGCGAAAATTAAACCACTTGACACGGGGCAATGGTTTCAATGGCGCGAAAAGAGAGAGAAAAAAAATTAGCAACAAATCCGAACACACTTGAAAGCCATCCGAGAGTGATTATTAAGTGGTTTAGTGATGGCTCAATTACAGCTTAATGGTTTTTCGGCCAGTTCTTGATGTCAATGTTGTGTGTGTGTGTGTGTCTCGGGAGAGTGTTGTGGTAAACTTGTTCGCGCTGTAAGCTCAGGAACATATTTTTTCCCTATTATGAAACTTATTCATAAGACTATTCATGAATAGTCTCACGTAGTTGCAATGAAACGTTTCGAGATGTGTGATCATTGATCTGAACGCTGAATAGGATCTTTTGTCAAAGTGGTTCGCTTATTTCAACGCAAATCAAAGTGGCAGTGCTGCTCTTTTTTCTTCTTCTTCTTCTTCGTGTTTATTTGTATTCAAAAAGCAAATGCTTTGTTTAATTGGAAAAAGAAGCATGCGCGCACAATTAGTTGTTCCCAATTTGGTATAAATGAGAGAAATTGCCCGTAAAAATTACTCCGTAATGAATTTGATGCGCCTAATGAACAGGAATTCGTTTGTCGTTTTTTTTTTGTTAGTTTGTCGGTTGTCTCTTTCACCCGGAAAGACTATGAATTGCCCATTTCTTCAATTTCCCTTTATTTACCTGTGCTTTGGTTGCTATCACCCGCATTCAATGATGTTGAGCCAATATTTTGGTCGGTGGTAGTTTTGGAAATCCTTTCTTCGGCACGATAAAATAAAAGTAAGGTACACACTAATCCTATTAAGATCCATAGCAGCAACGAGGATCTGATTTTTTGTGGTTTCGAATATTTAGAGAAAAAAAAAATATTTGCTACTGATTAGATTTCAAGTGGAAACTTTTTCGTAGGCGAACAACGAAACTGAATATGTGTCGAAATTTCAAGAAGGTATTTTAAACGAATTTTATCGAATGGCAACCGACGGAATATTATCTATTTCCTTTTTCAAAATTTTCGATGTGAATTTGTCGTATGTTTCCGATAATTGCAAGTCATTCGATCGGTCGCCGCCACTGACGTCATCCTCCACACCATCGGCCGATTCCATTCACTTACCTTTTTATCATATACATTCTCCGGTATTTGCTCAGATGATCCATTATTCTTTCGTTTCTATGCTCAATCACTGCTTAATTTTTCGTTTATCACATAAAACACTAAAGCCGATTGTAAGTTGAGTGCATGGCTTTTTCCATATATATATATATATATTTATATGAATCACAGCACACCGTGTCTTTTCTAAACCACTTTTCACTTCTTTATTTGAGATACTGATCGTCTTTTGGATTGTGTGTTTTTATTTTTGGTAAATGTTCGGTTACTTTTTCTCTCTCTCTCTCTCTCTCTCTCGTAAATATTCCAACACGAAACTGTTCAACCAAAACTGTTGCTTCTTCTGCTACTGCTGCTGCTGCTACTAAAATGCCTCGGAGAAATAAAATGAGATGGTTGTGCGCGTGCAGATTTTTGTTGGTGTAACAATCGATTTGATGGTCAAGAAGCGACTGAAATATTTTGGTGTGATTTCTGGTTATAGTTGACCGTTGCTCTTTTTTCGACCGTTGTTGCGTTGTTTTGTCTGGTGCGAATAAACCATTTCGAAAAATTGTATTGTACGTGGTCAGTGGTTGGGATCCGTTAACATACAAACAATTCCGTCAGTTGACGACACCAAAGCACACACATACACACCGTGTGTACGCACACGGAAGAGATACACCGCGTGAGCGCGAGCGCGCGCATTCGAACGATCACCAGGCAGAAAGAGAAAGAGGTGAGAACCACTTCTTAATATTGTTCCGTATTTTTTTTTTTAATGTTTACACACTCACTCTTCGATTGTTTATTTGCATTTCTGCTCTTTCTCTCACTCCAGACTTTTACTCTTCTTCTTCTTCTTCTTCTTCGGTCTCTTTTTTTCTTCGCGTTGCTTCTTCGTCTGCTGTTTTTTTCGGGGCTTCTTCTTTTTATAGAGTGTAGTATTTTATTTCCAGCGTATAGTATCTGTTCGCATTTCGCGTATTGAATTGTAACTGAGACGCGTTAACATATAGCGAACGTCTTCGGATTGTTCACTGTGCCAAATGCTGCGGCTTTGACTGTTATTACTCCTGCTGTTTGATGGCTGGCAAACTCTTTATTCCCTCTTCTTCTTCACACAAACCAAGAAAAAAATGTATAAAAAGAAAAAAAGATAGAGAATTTCGTGTGTGCAAGTTGGCTTTTTGTTTATTTGTTTATAATTTTCTTGGTAGCAAATAACACAAATGCGAACTATATAGATGAACTCTTATGGGCGACGGCCAATGGACTCCGTGACTTAACAATTGTTTTGGCTTGCATATACGACAAATGTATTTCGATTAACGTAGTCGCGCGTACACTTTGAATTCACCTCGTACTCTCAACTTCTCTTGGGGCTCTCTTTTGCGAACACACACACACAAAAAATGGAATAAATAAACTAGCAATGCAAAATAAAGTGAATTTAATGCGATTTCAGCACATAATTCCCTAGTTTTTCGCCTTCTTTTTCTTCTTCATTTTTATCAAACAAACACGATTCGAGGTTGATGTGGTAATCCAAGGCATACATACACCATCGGCATATCATCGAAAACAACTGTTGCATTATGTTTTTTGTTTAATTTAGTTTGTGTGTGAATTTTTTCAGAAACATTTTTTTTTGTATGAAAAATCAGCGAAATTTTCATGCAAACTCATCGAACCAGATACCAAATGTACAAACTATTGACGCATTGGTTTCGTTTTTCTTTTGCTTCAAGTGTGTTATGATTTGATTTTTGTTGACGGCATTTTACACACATGCTCCGTGAAAAATTTACTACAAAAGAAATTGTTTCGGTTTTTCGATATGATTACGTTTCTTTTACGAGGTTCTGTTGTTGTTGTTGTTTTTTTCCTTCTTGGTTCAACTTGGTTGATGTCAGCGGTCATTGGTATATTGATCAGATTTCACGCAGAATCAAAAAAAAGACGAAGAAAAAATATGAAAAATCAGTATGTGTCACCTGAATTGGCCTGAAGCCTTTTGAATTGGAGCGCGATTGAACCGAATGAAGCGCATCTACGCGCGAGAAAAGACAAAATTTCTTTTCCCTTTCGCTTAGCGAATTTCTCGAATTTTTTTTTCTGCTTCATTTTTTGCGCTGTGTGTCTTTTTCTTTCTCGTTCGGCTTTGACGACCAAAAATAGACTAAAATATCGAACATAAAATCCATTTTGGACAGACAATATTAAATGGTTGGTCACAATCACATTCACTCTTCATGTCTTGTTCGCATTTTTTTGCTGCTACTACTTCTGTTGTGCACACGGAGATCACATGTCGGATTTATACATCGTATCCAATCGACACAATTCATTCGATGGATTATTTTATGGTTTAATCCGATAGAGAGTGTTGTGTGTGCATCGTTCACACTGCTCCAAAACTGAAAAAACTGCAATTTTTGGCAATCGCCTGATTCGAAACGTAATGATTCAGGTCAGGTGAAGTGAAAAATGTGAAATGTGCAGTGCACATTGTGCACCGAAGAAATGCGATTTTTTGTAACGATGCGGCGGTATATGCCACCGATTGATTGCGTCGCAGAACCAGATCTTTAATTGACATCACCACCAGCCCAACTGATGAACTGATGCATTCAACTCGTTTGCATGAATTTCCCCATTTTTTTGTGTAAACCGTCATTAACGTATCATTTTTCTTGTATCACCGTTTTTTGGTAGCAATTAACATTAATCTCACGTTCATCGTTCATGTATGACCGCATTGATTCTCTTTCAAATGCTCTTTACAAGTTGGGCCGCGAGCTAATGAAGCTGCTGCATTCGCAATGTCTTAATTTGCCTAACTGAATTGAAAACGATCGATTTTTCGTGTGTACAAATGTCTTCCGGCAAAATGGTTTGTCCGACAATCGACCGTATTCTTTGTTGAAACTAGATATTTCCAATTGAAAAAAGTGATTCGCATGCTTAACGATCGTTGAATGGATGGAGAGAAAGGGAGAATAAAAGGTCTCAGCCTAAAAAGATATCAAGAGTAATACAATGCAAGAGCCACAGAGGCGTAATAGTCCTTTTTTTATATGTATATGTGTGGGAATCAGTGAGATCTGTTCAATTTTTGGCCGGTGAATGTACCGTCCGCTTACGAAATCCATATAAAAAGAAATTTCAGCCAAATTTTCATTACATCCCATTAAAGTTTATCACAATTGTGCGCAGCGTGCGCACATTTATTGGTGTAGGCCAAACATCCAAAATTGCGCTGATGCTAAAAATAAAACATGTTGCTTTGCGCAAATTCGATTTAATTTTGATTTATCACAATTCAAGAATGATACATTCAATATCTCAAACAATGAGACGTTTGTTGTTGCGAATGCTGAGTGATGTTTTATGAACATCAACGGAGAGACAAACGAACAAACTGAAAGAAGAAAAAAAAACTGCGCTTTTTGTTCTGATTAATTATTTAAGATTCTTTATTTCGACTATAGAAAGAGTTAATTGACTGTGGCCGTTATACAAGGAAGTGTTTGCGTCTAATAAACGGAAATAATTGAATCACAACAGCTGTTTATCTAAACGAAAACAAAGTATGAACAAGAAGAATAAGAAGAAGCGGTGGAAAAAAATCGCGCGATATTGGTTTCGTGTGACGTCTTGCTTAAATTAAATTGTGTATATTTTGGGATGTGTTGCGCTTTGAAGTGACGACGAATATTTGGCTCATATTGTGGACCGAATTTAGTATCGTATGCTTGTTTTTTTTTCCCTGATCCCGTTCCATATAGACACACACACACTCCAACGCTTACATTCAGCAGCGACACGGGAAAAACTGGCGTGCGCGCTGACACGCGAAAATGCAGAAAAGAGCAAAACAGAGAGGCGAAAACGAAAGAGTATCATCATTAATTTTAGAACTCGTGACTTGTGTTGTGCGGTGGCGAGACCGCATTTATTATTTCTTATTGCTATATTTTAAGACGCAATTTTCCCCCTCAAAGTTCCAACTCAGGCATGCGCTTGATGCGCGAAATCAGTTTTTCGACACTTCCGAAATTTCATTGATCAATGCCAATGCGATTAGACGACACAGAATATCAAATGTTCGGCCGATGCTTTTTCATCAACTGCCGAATTCTCTCATGTGAAAATGTTATTTATGTGGTGTGCGTTTATTTTTCCTCTCGTTCATTTTACTTTTTGCTCTTCGAATGTATATCCATCTTTTGTTGTGTTTTCTTTTTTGTTTACAAATCTCGTGGCATATCATTGTTGTTTCTTTATATGTTTTTTTTTTCTTTCTTCGCTGTGTGTTCCGTTGCATAATGAAAATGCATAAGCATTTGATTGCGCGTACTTGGCGATCCCTTACAATTGGATGTGCAACGCGCGCTGACGCATATATGCTCGTTTGTTTTGTTCTCAATGCAACCATTTTCATTTGTTTTGCCATGAAAAATCACACATTCGAACCCATTCAACGTTCATTTGGCGTTCGAATGAACGTATTGATGGCAAAGTCAAATGTGACGTAATTTGGGCTCGGTATCGAGCTATGTGATATTCATTTTACTAACTATTTGCTAACTGTTCCAGATGAATTTCATTGATTGTTATCGACATCGTTGTCGTCGTCGTTGTCGTTGCCGTCGTTGTTGTTGTCTCTAATTTTTAACATGCATGCCGCCCCTCATCGTTTACACCTCATTCAACTAGGCTATTATTTGCCATTTGGGTTTGCGCTAGTTGTTGCGCTCTCATTGTCTTTTTGTTTTGATCTAAATTTAGTTGCAACAAAAATTTGCGTATTTTGTTTGTTTGTTAACGCAATCAACATTCTATTAATGAATTTGCGCGCGCGTGTGTCCAGTTCACAAGCGGCAAACAACAAAGATGACAACGACAACATGAGATGAGAGAAAAAGAAAAATTTCGTCATTGACAATCATAAGTTTAGACCCGTCACACACACAAATACACACAATCACACTCTGGAGAAAATTCAATTCACACTGTCGATTCAATTTAATTATTCGAGTCCTTCTCAACCTATTAAATCACGCCCATTAAATCATCAATGCAAAATATATACCCCAATCAATTAGTGATGATATTTTTTTGTTTCGTTTCTAAAATCAATACTTTCGAGGAATTTACTTTCTCGGTGAAAAACAAAACTGAATTTGTGTCAAAAAAAACACTGAAACCTTGAAATGGCACGTGTGATTGCATTACCGTTTCATCTAGTCATTGGGTGTTATTGAATTGAAATGTGAATTTTCCAATTCATAATCAAATTTATCCAATCTGAGATATTGATCCTGGCCATTTTTTCTGTTTTTTGCAGTATATAATATTCCAGAGTATCTAGAGGAAAATCCACACCGTTGCATTGTGTAAGCACTGATGCAAATGAAAAAGAGAATAGAAAAAGAATGGAGGATGACTATGTAACAACCGATGTTTTCTCTTCCGTACTCGTAGCGAGCATTCGACACAAACAAACGTTGTTTGATGGTTGAACCCTCAACTCTCATTTCAATAATATTTGAAGTGATTTGAAGCATGCTGTTGTCAAAAACGGCCTAAATCGATGAATTCGATCAAGATTTTCCAAAAATTCGAGAAAATTGTCAACATTTTCTCATATTAAATTGATGATTTTCTTCGTGTACTACCGAAACAGTATTATTTACCTTGTAAATTCTTCAAAAATGGTCATAACAAAACATAATTAAAGCACGGGATGTTGTGAGATATTTTTTCAGAAATTATTTTTTGAATGTATTGAGAAAAAAAATCTACGCAAAAAGAAATCCCCGTTTTTTTTTTCTTATGAAATAAAAATGTTCGCTCGTTGTACCGTTTATTTTTTTTGGAAATATTCAAACGAACCAATTCAGTTATACATTTGTAATATCAACGGTAAATAAGTGGCACTCAACTCCATCTGGCGTACATGATAGCTTTCTATACTATTAGCCTCAATATCGGCAAAATGAAATTCATTTCAATTTCGCACTGAAACTTGTTTTGCACTTCTTTTCTCTCTGGAATACAAGCATTTGATAACAGGCTCGAAGGTTGAGTCAGCAAGTCTTTTATATCATCTTTAAATTGAAAAGAAATCATGGATGAATCGGCGGGAAAAGTGACGAATAGAAGAACAATTTAAGTTTGGTGTACAATAACATGGTTGAAGTGATTTTAAATGCATTTCATTAAAAAAAATTCGGCTGAGCAATATATTTTGCTGATTTGACCGTATCTAATCTATATGCGGAAAGCATATCGCATCGTCCAATCCACACGTGAAGTGATATTTTCGTATTTAATCATTGATGAATCATGAAATTCTTACGATATATGGTGTCAACTCATCGTAAAGTTGTAATCGTTAAACTCGAAAGAAAAAACGAAAATCGACATGTGCAAAGAGTTGCATTAGTTTGAATGAAGTGATCGACTAAAGGAATCTCTGCGGTTGGTATAGTGAAATTGATAAAATTTACTGTGACAAGTGGGGGCGCGTGAGTGTTCACGAAGTCCACATGCACATCTATACTACCACACGCGCACATACACGCACACAGACAGTCCGCTGTATTGTCGCGCCTTTGCTGCAGTCAAGTGACAGATGTCAAATGGAACGTATTTTTTTGTTGCCTAAAAGAGATTCAATACCAATGTTTCTCGCTTGTATCGCACAGAACAATAAAAAAAAGGATAAAGTGGATTAAAACAGAAAATTCAACGAAGTATCAAATCGAACTGTGTGCTGTGTTTGGACCAAAGAAAATGCATGCAAACGCGCATAAATCGCAAAAATAATGTATAGAAAATTGATAAATCGCATAAAATAGCTTCGATAACCGTTTCTTTTCCTGTTTTATTTTTCTTCGTCTTCATTTCAACTAGATAAACGCAGGTAAAAATTCGATGTCATATATTTTATTGAGTCTATGTCGTCTGCGTTTGAGAGTGTTTGCTTGTTTAACAAATAATTATTGATTATACTTATGCGTGATATTTTACTGGATGGATATTTTTTTTTTTCTCTTCTTGTTGTTTGTTTCATTGACACTAAAAATTGTATTTCGGTGTATGGATATGCGATAAAAATGATAGAATTATTGCGTGCATATTTAATTTGAAAACATGATTCGTATATTTACTAAATCGATAAAAGTGGTTCAAACATTTCAACAGTTCCGATTTTGTTTTTTGTAGCGCCAACAAGGGACAGTGGAAGAGAACTGTTGTACTGTGTAAATTGGGATTTGATTGATAAAATTCTGGGTCAGAATGTATCAAAGTGCTTGTACAGCAGCTGGCTGCACACAGCCCGAACGCGATCGTGAGGGTTTAATTGTAAATGAGCCCGTGGTGCCACCAGTTGATGACTACAGTGGATTCGATATTGTCAAGGCAACGCAATACGGTGCCGTTGCTCGTGTCAAAGAACTGCTCGACGCTGGATGGGATGTCAATCAACCAGATAGTGAAACGGTGAGCCTACTCCATTGGGCGGCCATAAATAATCGCAAAGAAATTATCAAATTGTTTCTGGAACGTGGTGCTAGTGTTGATTCAATCGGTGGTGAATTGCATGCAACACCGTTACACTGGGCCACACGACAAGGCCATTTAAATGCAGTGGTTCTGCTGATGGCAGCCGGTGCTGATCCAAGCCTACGAGATGCTGAAGGATGCTCGTGCATACATTTGGCCGCACAATTCGGACACACAGCGCTTGTGGCATATTTCATTGCACGCGGCGTGAATCCAGATCTACACGATCGCGGCGGAATGACGGCATTGATGTGGGCTTCATGGAAAGTCTGTGCATTGGATCCCGTTCGATTGCTCCTCACGCTCGGCGCAAATCCAAGCCTAGTCGACTCATCACATGGAAATACTGCACTACATTGGGCAATCCTAGCCAGAAATACTACAGCAATAAGCACATTAATATTAAAGGTATGTGAATTGAATGTCATCACTCTCGGGATAGTGTTCGACTTTGGCCTCTGCAAGAATTTTATTACATTTATGTGGATTTTAACCTAAGACTTCCTAATCAAGAGAAACAATCTTTTTTTCTCTATTCACAGGGAAAAGCTAGTTTAGATATTGCAAATTTACGTGGTGACACACCACTGAAGATGCTACAAGTTAATGCTGGATCAATTTGGATCGGTTCAAAGGTGATGGAACGCATTCGCGAGGAGAGTCAGTCAAGTCAACGGCAAAATTTCATTATCAAGTTAACAATAGATAAAGTGAGTGGCAAATCAATGATCGGAAATGATGTAAGAAATTTTCGATTGACCAACGAATGTTCTTCGTTTTTTTTTCTTTCATTTGTCATTTTAGCGGGTCCGATGGTATGCAATGGTTGCAACACCATTTCTAACTTTCTATATAGCTGGTCTAATATTTGGTGCGGACACACTGTATATAATCAAATTTTTCCTGTTGGGCTGTCTGTATGGAGCCGTTCATAGTATAGGCAAAACAATGTTTGATGAACACTTAATGTCACTGTTACCACTTAGTGTTTATATGGCAACAAAGCTTTGGTTTTATGTGACATGGTTTGGATATATTGCACCCACCGTTTCATCGACAACCACCCTTCTATTCCTATTATCTAGTTTCATTCTATGGTATTGCTTTTTGAAAGCATGGCGCGGTGATCCGGGTGTTATAAAACCAACACAAGAGCAGAGATTCCGGGTAAGAACTGAAATGAAGCAATTTTATTTTGAAATTAAAGAACTATCAAATAAATCTTCGTTGGGGATGACGTATAACGTACTCAGTCGCGTCAACACTTGTAATATTTTACTCTTTCCACTTAGACAATAATCGAATTATCGGAACGAGGTGGCAGTGGCTTTGAATCGGCCTTATTCTGTTCGGGATGCTTGGTGAGACGGCCGGTTCGATCTAAGCATTGTTCAGTTTGTGATCGTTGTGTTGCTCGCTTCGACCATCATTGCCCATGGATAGGCAACTGCATTGGTAATCATGCAATTATTTGTTCATTTTTTTTTGCAATTTGACACGTTCTAGCCTGGCTGGAAGTCCTAACCAGAAGCTTCGTCATTTTCAACAGAAGTTAAACACACATGAAAAAAATATTTAATTGAAAATATTCGGTTTCTTCTTCAAAGGTGCAAATAATCACAAATATTTCATGGGATTCCTGTATGCCTTGCTGATGATGTGCAGTTGGATGATTTACGGTGGAGCTAATTTCTATATGAGCGCCTGCAATATTACAATGGAAGAAGGTACGCGACTTTTTCATTGAATTTCGCGGGTGAAAAGTGTATTTCACGAAAAATATTTGCATGGAATTGGTTTTTTTTTCCTCTACAAAAGGTCCCATCAACTCAATAGTTGCGATTGGTCAGTGCAATCCTTGGATCGGTTGGGTTATTGCCAACGCATTGCTTCACATAGGATGGGTAGCATTACTGACAATTTGTCAAACATATCAGATTGTATGGTTGGGCATGACAACAAATGAGCGAATGAATCGTGGTCGCTATCGTCATTTCCAAGCGGCTGGTGGAAAGAGTCCATTCAACCGTGGACCAATCAAAAATCTGGCTGATTTCTTTGAATGTAGCTGCTTTGGCCTGGTACAACCAGTGAAAACTGACTGGATGACATATTTTGAATTAGAAAAGAGCATTGAACACGAACCCTTACTAAGAGCTACCGATAACTACCAGTATGTCTAATAATTTAGGAAAACTCATACATTTCTAATTCTCTGTTCTGTTCCTTCGTGCGTTTTTCTTTTGTTTTGCATTTTGATATTTTGCAAAAGAAAAACCAATTGTATAATTGAAACTTTTTTTCTTGTTTGTTTTTATGTTTTGGTTGTTCGTGAATATTCTCTCTTTGTTTTGGTTAATATTTTCCTATTTTGTTCATTTTCACAAAACAAACCATTAAATCGAAAACCATCTATTCTCAGCGATGAGAGACAGACTATGTGATCAATCACTGACGCTTTGTTCTTCAATAAGTTTAAATTATAACGCGCGCGCGAGCATTTATGAATTCCATTTTTCTAGAAAACAAAATAAAAAAAAACCAACTACAGCAAAACAATAAGATGTTAGTCTTAAATGAAACTACACACAAAATGTACAAAAAAAGGGATTACGTGTCAAGCACATATCCAAACGAAATCACACCGATTGTAATTAAAAATAAAAGAAAAAAAAATGAAACAGAAGAAAAATTAATCAAGAAAAAAAATTATAAACGGAAGAACAACACTTACACACAATCAACATCATCGACAACATGCGACGTGCGATTGCATTCAAACTATTTTCCGATTCATTGCTTTGAATTCTTGATAGATATCTCCGGTTTACCGTGACCAAAAAAATATCGTATTTTTTTTTTCCATTTGAGAAATACACACTGTTCTAAACTTGGAATCAAAATAAGAAAAAAAATTGATTATTTAGTTCGTAGTAGAGTAAAACAGCAACCTGTAGTTGCGTGATAGAAGAATAGTAAAACAATACAACAACATCAAAAACACTACACCAAATACCTAATTCCAAATGGAATCGACGAATTATTGTGACATTTATGATAATCATACGTATCGACAATGTTCACAAATGATACTACACATTTATTTCGTTCAATATCAATAGATCTTCTGACATATTTTCTCTGTCAAAAATTATGAGAAAAAAAATGTTGTTTTTTTTCCTTTCGTCAAAGTAAGAGAAAATGAAACAGAGTTACTCGCACAAAATTCCGTATGGAAAACAAAAGAAAATCGATTTAAATAAATACTATGGCATATCCGGATGCCTTATACTGTCTCGTGTGCTTTATTCGCTGGATTTTTCTTTATTTCTCATTTCTGCTCGACTTAACAGTGGAGACGTGCATTGCATTTCATTTCACTACAACTAGATCTCCCTTCCATATTACATTCAACATGGAGCAAAAGAGAAAAACGAAACCAGACTCTTTTTTTTTTCTTCAGAATTTAAATGTATTATTATAGTTTCGGAAGCCATCGAACAAAAAAAAAAAACAATGAGAGATATGAATACCATGCAATGATCTCGTAACATTCAAATCAATTCAACACATATTCACATTCTTATCTTCAAATGTCTCTATGTGTGTTTTTCAATAAAAAGATTCATTCATCAAAAAAAAAGAAGAAAAAGAGAGAGTGAAAAAAAATCACACAAATAAATGAGGCTGTGAGAATGAAAATGGCAATACAGGAATAAACATTCTGAAGCGCATCAAGAAAAAAAAATTCGCAAAAGTGAATCATGAGTTCTGAATATGCAAAAGTGAACCATGAACCTCCTATGCTGTCCATGTAAATTCATGTTTCACTTTTGCATATTCAGAACTCATGATTCATTTTTGCGATTTTTTTTTTCTTGATGCGTTTCAGAATGTTTATTCTTGTATTGCCATTTTCATTCTCACAGTCTCAAATATTCCAATCAATTTATTTGTCATTTGATTTTAGCAAAACTTTAAAATTTCAGATCTAAAAATCCATAAGCAATGAATTTTACTCGAACCAAAATTTGTTCCATTTAAATAATGGAAATGATATTGAAAGTTTTCAAAATTCCATAAAATTTGCACAATTTTTGTTTCCGTTCGTTGCCGGAAGTCTTTTACTTCTAAATAAAAAAACAAAACAAATCTTAACAATGAAAATAAATTATTTTATCGTGATTATTTCAAATAATCATAGCCAAAGAGTGTTACAATTCTGTGAGTGTTTTTATACTAGTTTTTGTGGGAGCTGCGCTTTTGAAATTAAAAAAAAGGGTAAGTTTTAAGCAAACTACTGGGATAATAACGCCGAAAAATGATTTTTTTTAACAATATTAAAAAGAAGACTGCGACTGAGTAGACTGATGGTTCGATTTTAATACGTAGAGTCTACAGCTTTCAGTGATGAGTCACGTCCTTCTTTCGTTTCAATTTTTTTTTTCATTTAAAAGTTTCGTTTAAAACTTCTTGAAAACTTAATGAAATAAATCAACAGAATGTTTCTGTTTATATAAACAAGACGAATTGTGGCGAATTATTTGTTAAAAAAAAATCCACATTACTATAGATGTTTATCGGTGAAAGTGGAGACGCCTAGGGCGAATAACAGCTTTTAACTGTATTTTCTTATTCGAATTTAAGAATTCTTTCCAAGTAAAATTCGCTCAAATACTTGAAACGGTGGAATTTTCCACTAGATTATATTTAAAAACTGAAAAATTCATCTTTTTTCAATTTAAAAAAGAATTTCTCTTTTTCTAGACAAAAATCTTCTTTTTTTTCTCGAATTGGAATTTAATTTTTGATTTCATTTTTTTCAAGGCACGGTGATGTTAAATTTCTCAAAATATGGAAATGTTCAATATGATCCCACAATAGGTCAACATGAAAAAATTCCTCCAATAAAATGGTGTAGTATAAAAAAATCTGTATCTCGAAATGAAAAAAAATAATTGATTTTTCATAAAAACATTGGTGCCGCAAGTCAATAGCAGGCCATTATATGCCTGGAAAAAAAGAAAATTCTCTGCAAATAATTCCAAGGGAAAATTGCGCTATCCATGATATTTCATGATTCTTTCTGATATGCGAGCATACAAAAACGTTTCATTAATTATGTCTGGCTCGGGAAATGTGTGTGACATTCAAAATTCGCTTAGTAATTTTGAATATCATGAATGGGGCACATGTACTGGCTATGTATATCGTACAGTCAGCACTTTAATATGGGTAATAAATGAAAAGAAAATCGTTACTTTTACGCATGATAGAAACGGCGTGAGATAGTTTGAAAATCTACTACATCACACCATTTGGATTAGCTGTCAATGTGCTCGTATATTCGAAAATGTATCATCATATCGTTTCATTTTTGTTAAAAAAATCAAATTAATTCAATTGATAAAAATTGATCCAATTTTCAAATAAATTTCGTTATTAAATTGAAATCAATCTATTAAACGTGTGAAAAATTATTTATTGAATAAACTTTCTAAGCATTTGAATATCATAAACGGCATCTCTTTTGATCTACTACATTTATTGCACACACTACCACTAGCATGTGCAAGGTAAACCATAACCATCGATTCACTCGTAACCGTGTGTGTATGGTAGACAGTACAGGGTAGAAAATCAGTGCACAATTTATGCACAATTCAACAGCACACCATGCTTTGAACAATGTTCTCGCTTGAAATTCCTATGCCATTTTCGCTGTTCGTTTCACGATTGGGATGGCGGTGCCTGCGTGCACCCTGCACGATTCATATGTACAGATTATAGATTATACATTACACCAGCTGCGCACTACAATACACGGACAATGAAAAAGTATGCGATACACTTGTGTTTGTGGCCCATCGACTGGAGCGTGTACACAAAGACTTCCATTGTGTGTATGTGAATGAAGCGAATCGAGAACACCGTAACGAGTTAGAAAAAAACAATCAAAAATGCCTCAATGCAGACAAGAATGGAGCGAACGAAAGAGAGTGAACAGTGTGACGGCTGCATGCGATGCTCCTACTGTTGCTGTATATGTCAATGTGTCAATGGTGTGAGTGTGTGTATGAAATGTGTTTTTTTTTTACTTCATTTGTGCGTATTTTGAGATGCGATGTAGTAGAATTTTTACACTTTGGTTTTCGTTCATTCGTTCGTACGTTTTCACTTGCGCCTTCATATATCCATTTCGCTCACACTTACAGTTCACCATCCATCTCAGTCGTTGCTCGCACGTAGTACACGATTTCCTCTCTCACATACACAGAGAACGAGAGAGAGAGAGAGTAAAACATTGAATCGAAACGCCTGAACATTGTCATCGTTGACCGAGTGCGAACAGTTTTTTAGATGGCGATCATTGAGTACTGTCAATTCTAGTTTGTCTTCGCTGAGTTTATAACTAAGATAGCTTAACTGCTATTACTTGCTACCGCTGCTGTGCTGTGCTGTGTATATATCTCTAGTTTCTTTATAAATTGGTGTGTGATAGTACGCGCGATTCAAACAGAAAAAGGCAAAAAAGCAAGAAAAAAATTAAAAAAGATAAATCTCAAACAGAAAAAAAAAATTGATCAAAATGTAAGCAAAAAGAAAAATCATTTCAATTTTGTTGAAACACATACGAAAGAAAAAAACAAATGAAAAAATTATGTTTTGTATTTCTGTTTGGTAATATTATTTAGTTGTTGTTTCTGTACTAAGCAAGAGGAAAAGAAAGAGAAAAACAAAACGACGACGTTTGGTTTTTGGTTCCTTCGGATTTCAAACAAATCGAAGTCCCGTGTGTGAGTGTGTCATGAAATTGTGTATATATGCAAGTCGATGCAATCGAATATAATTTCATTTGCTTCGGAATTCACCTGAATCGATTGCGAAAAGGAAAAAAAAAATGGAGAGCGAAGCAATGAGAAAAAAAAGACGTAATCATTTTGTTGTTTATTGAAAATGAAATGAAATGCGTTAACTAAATAAATCGCCAAAATGTCCAGAATTGTCTTGTGGGGTTAAATTCAAGACACAGAAAGAAAAAAATACATGCAAATTCATTTCCTTTATGTTTTTGTTGATGTTGTTGGTGTTAAAAAAAAATTATGTTGAATATTTTGTAGTGTTGTGATTGTGTTGGTGCGCGCGCGAGAGACAATATTCATTAATCGAAACAAGTTGAAAAATGACACACAAAAAAAAATATTAATATATGCAACGAGGGACAGAAAAAATAACAAGAACATTCAGTCGCAGTTATACGAAGTCAATGTTAAACATTATATCGTTGATTCTTTGACGTTATTGATAATGCGAATACTACCGTTTTTTTTTCTTCTTCTATCTGTTTCGTTTCGATGTTTTATTGTTCCGTCTCATTTGGATTGTGTGTGTGAGTCGAAGCGCTGGCAAATCGTCGTCGTGGTCGTCGACGTCACTCTCTTCTCTCGCTGCGAATTGGATTGTATTAGTGGAATATAGCAATTACTTGTGATTGAATAAGTGCTGCTAATCAATGAACTGTATTACAACAAACAACATTTTTCGTCTTGCTCTCTCTCACTCTCAATATTGTCCAAATAGAGCGAGCGACCAACGAGTAAAACGTTATGTCAAGCAGCAGCACGAAAATAAAAGAAAAATACTGTAAAATGAAGAGCATCAATTCGAATGGTGTTTTAATTTCAAAAAGAAAACAACAACAATAATAATGAGAAGAAGTCGAAAAAAACGCCCCGAAAATTCACGAACAAACAAATCGACGAAAACCAAACAAACACAATCGTTGTTTTAATTATTACCATCGTCGGAACGACGGTGGGTGTTAATGTCGTATACAAAGTGTGTACATTAGGTGATATAGCGAGCAATTGCACATCGCTTATCACCGATTCCCGATTGTTTATTCACGCTTTGATGAATTTATTGTTACTTTGTTCGAAAATAAAAGCCACGAACGGTGCTTCAGTATTCATTGATTAAAATAAGCTGAACTATACGTGCGGCGATTGATGGTGCTGGTTCTGCTGCCATTGCTGATGCTAAATGATTATATTGCATCACCACATTTTCCACTTTGTCGGTGTAATCGCGGCACAATGTCAGCTCTTAGTCTCTTTTTTTCTGGTGTTTTTTTTTTTCTGATTCATGCAAATCACAAACACACATCACGCGAATTAATTAAACGAGAATATCGGATATCGTGAAAAGGAATTTTAATCGTGTGTAGCCGCATGACATTATTTTTAAACCGAAAGGGAGATGGAGAGAGAGAGAAATAGAGAAGGCCTGAGCGCCAAATGAAAAAAAAAACAAATACTCCTATAGCCCTGATCATCTTTGCGCGCGCGAGAGAGAGAGAGAGGGAGAGAGAAATGCATGGCCGAGACCATTTGTCAGATTTGATACGCGCGCGTGTCAAATAGGAATTGAAAAGCAGCAGCAACAACAATAACAACGTAGCTACACATCCATTATTGAACTTGAACTATTTTCGCAGGGCAGCATTTGCGCGCGCGAACAAGTAACAAATTTGCGAACGCAAAATAGAGCAAGTTGATATTTTGCTTGGATGCCAGGTTCAGGCACTTAAAATGTCATACCAATTTAAATAGATTCAAATGGCCACGAAGAATGTGTGTAAAAGAGAGCACATTAGTCACCTTACTTGGCGTAGTAAAGAGCCGACTATCGTCATCGTCACCAGCATATATTCATTAAAACGAACCGACTTTGCGTTCCAATCAAAATAGCAAAGAAGAAGAAAAACACGTTATGTGAAATTCAGTTGGCGGTAGTGCGCGCCACTGGACGAATGCAAAGAAAAAGAAGTGTGTGTATTGTCCAAAGTAATTACGGAACAAGGTTCCAAAAATGAGGTTGCCTATGTTTGTCTGTTTTTTTTTTCTTCGTACGTTTCTTTCTTCTCGCCGTTGCGATGACTATCATTTTAATAGAGGTGTTGTATGGTGTTGTGGTGTGCGCGCATTATGTTCTCGCTTCATTTTTGGCCGTCATGGTATGAGGTATTTGTCCTTTTCTGGAAGGGGGGCCACTTTTCTTCGAATACACCGCGAATCCGAACACACCGTGTGTTTTGTTTATTTTCGACAATTCTATAACATTTTTGGGCCGTTTTCTTTTCATTATTCTGCTTCGTTTTCTCTCGTTCTCTTTCTCAATGGTTTTCCTATTTTTCCAATGAAATGTGAATAATATTTTGGAGCAGAAGACGAAAAAGAAGCAACAGCAGAAGCACATTTTTAGAAGAAAAAAAATAGAAGCGAAATGCCGTTGGTCGTGCCACGCACAACACATAAACTATATATACAAGCAGACAATGTTCATGTTCTGTGTCTGGCCTCGTCTTCATATTCTATTTTTTGTGTCTCTTCTAGTCTAATTCAATTTGAATACGTGCCCGCATTTCCAGCTCAAGAAGTTGTCGAGTGTGTATATATATGTGGCGCGTACAATGCAGGAGAGTGATCACATACTGACGATTTTTTTCTCTTCCTCTCTCTTTCTCTCTCTCTCTCTCTCTCTCTCCATCGCGGAAATATAGAATCAACTTAAGCAAATGGCATAAAATAGTAAAGAACTTTGACGCCGGCTAGCATTTGTCTTTTTCTGCTGCTGCTGCTGCTGCTGCCGCTACTGCTGCTACTGTTGTTGCTGCTGTTGCTATAGTGGTTATGTTTCCACATTTTTGCACTTGGACTTTTCTTCATTCGTCATGCTATCCGTTGTATTCGTAATGTTTTTGGCAAAATCATGTTCTGTATTTGTGCTCTAAATTGCTTGGTTTTTGCGACAGAAAAACTGTACAACATAGGTACATCGAGTCAAAATAGCATTTTGCGCGCCTTTACTTCATTGGAGTGTGTACGTGTGTATTGCTGTTGGTGTGTTTGAGCGCCAAAATTCGCATGAGATTTGTGTGTGTGTGTTTTTTTTTCTCGGTTTGGTCGAGGTTTGGTGTGTCTCTTTGTTGCCAAATTAAGCATTTCAGTTGATATAATATATGTTTGACTGTTTTATCTATGGCGATGATATTATATATTTGATTGCGTCGAACATCATGCATATAGAGTTGCGCGGTGCCTCGCGCACCATACCACACATCATATACGGCATACTTTCTATACAACCAAATTGATAGAATTAATACACTGGTTTCTCTTTTTCAATTTTTTTATTCTTTTTTTTCTCTACATCTTCTTTTTCTACGTCATATTTTTTTCTGTTCAATTTGGCTCTGCTCTGTTCGATTCGACTATGCTCTGTTCGGTGAATATTGATGTACACCGATGACTGTGATGATGATGATGATGAAACATACACACAGTGTGTGTGTGTGTGTGTGTGTGTGTGTGTGTGTGTGTCCTGATGATTTGGTGCGTGTGTGGGGATACCGGAGGGAAGACTTGTTGGTCGTTTGTTATTAATTTTGTATCTGGGACAACTATGTAAACGATGCTGGAACGCTTTAAAAACCATATCATTTTAGTGATTGAATACGATGAGGTGGTATTTATACGGTACCAGGCGTGTGTATCAAAATGAATACAACAACAACAACAACAGAAAACCTTCACATGAAAACACATAAAACGGATTAAATGCTGGGAAGAACGCAAAAAAGGGCTTAGTCTCTTTTATTGATGATCGCAATTTCTGCCGCATTTGAATCAGCCCTTTTGGTTCCGGTTCTATTCTAGCCCATTCGGTTTTCATAATTCGAAAATCATTTTTTTTCTATTCTCTCTCTTTTTCTATTCTCTCTCGTTCGTTGTAAAGAAAAACCATTTGCTGGCTCTCGCTTTTATCGAGATGCAATGCGCATTTTATCTACCATTTTTTCCGCACCGATCGGAAATATCCCGCAAACACAGGCGGACATACGACGACCAACACAGCAACATGATATATCAAACAAGTTTTTGATGTAAATTAACTTGGATACTATTATTAGAGGAATTTTACCGCAAATAAATACATTGAATTCAGTTCTCTTTCTCACTCTCTCTCGTCTCATGCCCGTTACACACTTACGTCGAAAAACGTTTCGATGCTCGTTCAAGAAAAGAAAAACCAGCAGCAAAAATGATTGAGATGTCAAAACAAATAAGAGCGAGAGACAGACAGAGAGAGAGAGAGAAGGGAATTTGGAAGAACGAACGAGGTTGAGTGGAAAAGAATGCGTTGAAATCAACCCTAGAGTTGCTAGTTTTTTCAATGGCTTCACCGTTTCTAAGAGTCGTCATCGATTCGAAGAAAAACCAATACTAGAAAACAGCGCATATCAAATACTTTTCTCGATTAATGAGATTTCGATCGATAACAGCAAATCTAAAAGCGAAATTAGCAACCAAACGAGAGAGAGAAAGGCGGAAATAGAAATGGCATTGCGTTGTTCTGGAAAACCGATTGTTGAGTGGGAGTATGTCTCTTGATAAATGTCAAAATTATTTGATGTTAATTCGTTTGGAAATGCGGATTTTCCATCGAAATGTTGCTATGTGTTGCATGTGCCTTGTTATTTCCATTTCATCTCGCACTCTAGCACTCTTCCTTTCATCCTTCATCTCTGCTCTTGGCTCTCCTCGTACTTAATAAACAGTTTGATTCCTTGTGCCGATATTTAATTATACACAATCATGTGGAGTGCAGTTCTTGAAGTGCCACAATGATCCGTTCGGACGTCTGTCAATGGTTAATCTCCTTTGACTTTCATCGAAATTTCATGTGATTTTGGTTTGCATTAAGGTGGTGTACCACATACACGCACACGCACACC